CCTGAACCCTTCCAAGTGTGAAGTAGTCTCCTCCAACCCAGACATCGTAGCTAGAATAAGGTCTGCCTTGCCTGGAGCCCATGTCATTAGGGCCGAGAACAGCACCCTCCTTGGAGCTCCCCTCGGGTCTAACGCCATTGAGGAGATCCTCGACAAGAAAATCGCAGACCTTAGGAGGATGGAAGACAGAATAGGTGACATCGATGCCCACGATGCTTTTTATCTCCTCACCAAATGCCTATCCCTTCCGAGGCTAACCTACTTTCTGAGGTGCGCCCCATCTTACAACAACCCAAAGCTTGACGAGTATGACCTCCTACTGAAGACCATGCTGGAAAAAGTTGTTAACCTCTCTCTCAACGAATGCCAGTGGAAACAAGCCACTCTTCCTGTCAGGCTCGGTGGCTTGGGTGTCCGCACCGCCACCCAAATTGCAGTCCCAGCCTTCCTGTCTTCCTCCTCAGCATCAGATGACCTGGTTAAGGAAATTCTACCTGACACCCTGAGTGATGTAGCGGGGATACAGGACCCCCACTACACGGAATGTGACACGAAATGGGGTGCCATGACAGACCCAGCACTCAGACCAGCCATGCCGAAAGCCAAGAAACAATCCAGTTGGGACAGCCCCATTGCAGACAAAGAAGCCACAGCTTTGCTGGAGGCAGCAACAACCCCCAGTGATCGTGCACGCCTCACAGCTGTGCAGGCTCCCCATGCAGGGGACTTCCTTCTGGCAGTCCCTATGTCTGCGACAGGCACACGTCTTGATCCGCAGGAGCTCCGTATTGCAGTCGCTCTCCGCCTTGCTGCCCCTATCCACACTGTTCACAGGTGTATTTGCGGCGAGGCAGATGCTGACGAATATGGATTGCATGGCCTGCACTGTGGAAAATCGGGTGGTTGGCACACTAGACACGACGAAGTCAACGACATCATTAAAAGAAGCCTTGCCTCTGCTCAGTGTCCAGCGGAGAGAGAGCCCCGCAACCTACTGAACCGTGACTCTGTTAGCTTTGCCGGCCGACCAGACGGAATCACACTGCGTCCGTGGAAGGGTGGCAGGCAGTTAGCATGGGACTATACTTGCGTATCCACCCTGGCAACGACATACATCACCCTCTCTGCCGGCACGGCAGGAGCCGCAGCGACACACAGAGAAAAACAAAAGTCAGTCAAGTACAGGCAATTAGATCAAAGGTACAATTTCGTTCCAATAGGGTCTGAGACCCTAGGCCCATGGGGTGAGAGTGCAAGAAGGTTTCTTAAGGATCTTGGTTCCAAGCTCATTGACACCACAAGAGACCCTAGAGCAGCAAGTTTTCTCTTTCAGCGCCTCAGTGTCGCGATCCAGAGGGGAAATGCCCGCTGCATCCTCGGTTCCTGCCCGGCGTCGGAGGAGTTCGAGGAAATCTACAGCCTCTAGGAAGCGAACTTTTTCTTGTGTCCTCTTAATGTTCATTTTTTGTATAAAATCAGATATGTAACTGTATAACCTTGCATAATAAAGTGTACATCATAATAAAAAAAAAAGGGGGTGGTAGGAGAAGTGAACACTCTTTCGTATTCAGAGTTAAATGTCAAGTTTTTCCCTGAGTGCTCTGTGTTCCCTTCTCTGAGGCTGTGGGTCCCTATAATTACACCAGTGGTGGTACCCCCCTATATATATATATATATATATATATATATATATATATATATATATAGTGGGTATAAATAGGAGCTGCCACGTATGGACCAATAGGTCTTCTGCGGTGTCCTATGTTCTCATGTCCTTAACTAGGTTATGATGCTGTATTAAGGACTTACCTGTGTACGGTAACGACTGTATTTGGTGCGTCTGACGCAGTTAAACCATTGGATGTACGGAAGATGTTGTTGCTGTTATAGATTCAGCTACTGGGAACAAAAAGTTCCAAGTAGCACGGGCTATGGTGAGCCCGTAGTGGACTTGTGTACTATGGCTTTTGTGATTATTCTTGCACCTTATCTCCTAGAAATTACCTTTTTCTCTTACCTGCGTCTCACCTCACTCTTTCCTTATTTATTGATCCCTTCCACGCCAGTGGTTGTACGGGCTATTCATGCCCGTGCCACCTCTTGGGTGGCTTAATCTTTATCAATCAATCACCATTAGTCAGGTCCTATTACTAGAAGTGTACTAGATCACCGTGAAGTTTAAGAATCTTTATCACCTGACTTAAGTGTGTCTGTGTGTGTATTTGAATTGGTACTCACTTAGTTGTTATTGCGAGGGTTGAGCTTCGGCTCTTTGGTCCCGCCTCTCAACTGGTGTACAGATTCCTGAGCCTATTGGGCTCTATCATATCTACATTTGAAACTGTGTATGGAGTCAGCTTCCACCACATCACTGCCTAATGCATTCCATTTATTAACTACTCTGACACTGACAAAGTTATTTCTAACGTTTCTGAAACGTTAGAAATTTAAAACGTTAGAAAATGAAACATTTGAGTACTCAGCTTCCACCTGTGTCTCGTGCGAATGCCGCCCGTGTTAAATAATCTGTCCTTATCTGAGTATCTGCTCCTGTTAATTCCCCTGCGAATTTTGTATGTAATGATCATGTCTCCCCGAGCTCATCTATCTTGTGTGTGTCTGTGTGTTTAGTCGTTCTTAAAAACGTCATATATGAATGATAATAAGCTCACATACACCTGTATTTCACTAATACAGTGTGTAAGCGCAACACTGCGATCACTTTTCGTTAGTGTCCCCTATGGCTAGGCTCTGTCCGTGCCCCTATCGCCGTTTTCCATCCGTGCCCTCCGTAGCTGAGTGCCTACATCATGTTAATACACTATTTTCAAAGCTTTAACTGTATGTATACTTACATTTGAATATGGAATTTTGTAAACATTTAAAACGCACTTTTAAACTTTTGGGGAAGTAATTTTATTTTAGTGTTGTTGTCTGTGTTGGGGGACCCGGTAGCGAGGCTCGAATGCCTCTTGTTGACCACACCACACACTAGAAGTTGAAGGGACGACGACGTTTCGGTCCGTCCTGGACCATTCTCAAGTCTCTAATGCCTCTTGTTGACCAGACCACACACTAAAAGTTGAAGGGACGACGACGTTTCGGTCCGTCCTGGACCATTCTCAAGTCTCTAATGCCTCTTGTTGACCAGACCACACACTAGAAGTTGAAGGGACGACGACGTTTCGGTCCGTCCTGGACCATTCTCAAGTCTCTAATGCCTTTGTCAGTCATGTTTAGAAATATGCCAGGGCTTAAGGGGCGGGTTGAGTGAGGTAGTGAATGTTGACAGCTGGATTTCATTGTGGGATAAATGCAAGCGGCTGTTTGTACAAGATTTGGATTTGTTTCAGAATGTAATTATATATATGGTTGTTATAATTGTTTCGCCAGGGCGTGAGGTACACCAGAGTATAACTAGGTAACTATAATTCAGTCTGAGGTGCTCAATAATGAGGATAGTTTACAATGTATACTCATGTGAGTGTTGCTCATTATAGAGTGCGAACCCTTTGGCTCATATTTAACCGCCACTCATAATAATTCGAGCCCCTGTTAGTCTGTAATTTGAACACTATTCACTCACGGCTTAGTCGCAGTTGTTGGGTGGTTTGGTTGTTATCTCCTGTCGTTAGAGCTCAGTTGCGCTCATGGAGCTCAACAAAACTTTACGTTTTTTTAGCATTATATTTAGAATAAATATATTTAGAATAAGAATTTAGAATAAAAATTAAGAACTGAAAAGTTCTTAATTGAAGCTGGGCTCTGTGTCACGTTAGCGCTCTGTAGGGTCATATATAATGCTTGCTCTATGTTAAGTGAGTCTTACTTTGAGCACCTCGAGGCAGTCTTGAGCCCCACCCATTCATCTGTATTCCAATTTGAGCTCCATATCCACTTCTTGCTGTTATGAGTCTATCGGCCCTCTTGGTGCAAATTGAGCTCTCAATCACCCTCATTTGATACCAATTCGAGCCCCTTTCTGTCGTCTGGTTCCAATGTGAGCCCCGTTTACATAATATTAAAGGGATATATATATATATATATATATATATATATATATATATATATATATATATATATGTATATATATATATATATATATATATATATATATATATATATATATATATATATATATATATATATATATATATAATATATATATATATAATTGTGATGAGAGCCCTTGTGTAGCACTTTATATTTTAAGTGACTTGTATATGGATACTTTTAAATACTTATATAAATATTATATAAGTAATATATATTAAATATATTACTTAATATATCCAAATTGCAAAATATGAATGTCAACATACCAAATATTTAATTATTTCTTGGTTGTTAAACATTAGGCATTAGGATTACCTATGAATTATTTTATTGCTTCTGATAACCTGCGATTATCTAATCTCTGCACTGGCGGTAATCTTAAGTAATCTTTGCGATCGTCTTAAGTACTAGCTGTTATCTTAAATGAGATAATCTCAGGTATTTAATTACCAATGAATAACTGGTATAATCTTACCACTTGCGAGTCTAAGTACTACCAATACTTAACAATCAGCTACCCGTTATGATTGGCAGTTTTGCAGTAAAGTACAATACAAGTACATTGCAGCAATTAAAGTGTATACATGAACACTTATTCGTTACTTACAAATAACTGCCTATAATTATAAGTGCTTAAAATTGTAAACGCCTAAGAGCTCCATTTAAGCTCTTAATACGAACTAGAATAACACGGTATTAAGTATGGCTAAATTTTAAGTACGAAAATGAGAGCATTTTCTAGTTTCTGAAATTTAGGTGTTTGGGAATATTTTAAAATTTTAAAATTCGTACCAGGTAATCTTTGTTCCAGTAATGACCTTGTGTCATTGGTCATTAGAACTAGCAAGGACTAGTGAAGCTACTAGCGATACTAGCGGATTGTTAGTACTGGTTGCCGGTATCGTGTAATGGGTGGTTCCGTCCGTTATTAGTGAGAGTCGGCGCTACCAACCATTAGCTACCGCGACCGCTGGCTCCGGTGACCGCTGGCACGGGTGACCGCTGGAACGGGTGACCGCTGGAACGGGTGACCGCTGACACGGGTGACCGCTGGAACTGGTGACCGCTGGCACGGGTGACCGCTGGAACGGGTGACCGCTGGAACTGGTGACCGCTGGCACGGGTGACCGCTGGAACGGGTGACCGCTGACACGGGTGACCGCTGGAACTGGTGACCGCTGGCACGGGTGACCGCTGGCACGGGTGACCGCTGGCACGGGTGACCGCTGACACGGGTGACTGCTGGAACGGGTGACCGCTGGCACGGGTGACCGCTGGAACGGGTGACCGCTGGCACGGGTGACCGCTGGAACGGGTGACCACTGGAACGGGTGATCGCTGGCACGGGTGACCGCTGGCACGGGTGACCGCTGACACGGGTTACCGCTGGCACGGGTGACCGCTGGCACGGGTGACCGCTGGCACGGGTGACCGCTAGCTCTGACGACCGCTAACACTAGCGGTTAATATCACCGGCAACTGCTAGCACCAGCGGTCACTAGCACCGGTCACTGCGGTCACTACGTAGCCGCAGTGCTAGTGACCGCTAGTGACCGCCATTAGAGACAAGTCACCGCCATTACTAGTAAAGACAACAGAAGGAGGGTGAGGACAGAGTCGATACAGACAGATAATGTTAACAGATAATGTTGACCTGTTAAGTATTGACCAGGTCAATACATAACAGGATTAAGGCCAAGACTCGACACTGAATTCAGAAATAAGATGCAATAAAAATAAGAGACTAATAAAACCCCCATTATTGCTATTGTTTATCTTCAGTAAAGTTTATGGGTGTTGGAGAGAGAGACAGCGGCGGCGGCAGCCACATTGTCTCAGTGCATTGTCAACATTATTGACGCAATAACATTATTATTTTTTTTCTCTTAATTGCTTTATTTTGGTTTTTATTTTCTAAATAATATTATTAATGGCTTGTTAATGTCACTGTATTATTATTATTATTATTATTATTATTATTATTATTATTATTATTATTATTATTATTATTGAGTTTCCTTCATAAGGTTTCATTTTTCATTTTTCTTCATTTTTCCATGTTTTTTTTTTAAGATATCTTGTGTTTCTAATTGTTTAATTTCTTCCTGAGTGGTTGCCGCTGAGGGTTGTTGTTGTTGTTGTTAAAGATTCGCTACTTGGAACAAAAAGTTCCAAGCAGCACGGGCTATGGTGAGCCCGTAGCGCCGCTGAGGGGCTCAAGAACGCCTCATTATAGCGGCTTGAAACTCAATATACTATAGTTTGAGCACCAAAAAGATCATTTCCTGATAGTTCCCTCGCACCGTCGCCCCACAGCAGGTACTTGTAATTGATTGTTATATATATATATATATATATATATATATATATATATATATATATATATATATATATATATATATAACATATACATATATATATATATAACATATACATATATATATATATATATATAACATATATATATATATATAACATATATATATATATATATATATATATATATATATATATATATATATATATATATATATATATATATATATATACACAAGAGCGAGTAAGAGCAAAATGTAACAACTCTTCACACAAGAGTTGTTACATTCTTGTACAGTCAGTAGTAAGCGTAGCGTTTCGGGCAGGACCTTAATCCTATGGTGTCTGGGATACGAACCCCACGAAGAATCGTTTTTACAACCAAGTACCCATTTTACTGTTGAGTTAAACAGAGGCTACAGTTAAGGATTTGCGCCTAGTAAATCCTCTTCGGCTAGGATACGAAACCAGGACAAAGAGCTCGCAAAACGCCAAGCGAGCGTCTTAACCGCTACGCCACGGAGACTTACTTCGTTTCTGTGGGATTTTCTGGAAGAGTTTCATGGTGGTTGTTAACCCTGGGAATTATTATTATTATTTCTATTGTTGTGATTCGTCTTTGGTGTGATGTATTTATGGATCAGACCGGGAAGGGTGATAAGGACAGCTGGTGATTATTACTGAAGATCAGGCATACAACGCTGGTTAAGGTCGACCCCTTTAATGTGAAGCTCGACCGATTAAAATGTGAAGTGATATCAAATAGTTGTTCTTTGAAATTGACATGTATATGATTGTCTTATGACGATCAGTCGTTGTTTTGGTGTTGATACAATTGGTTTGCGAGTTGTTTAGCCACGACCACACGCCATACAGCCACGACCACACGCCATACAGCCACGACCACACGCCATACAGCCACGACCACACGCCATACAGCCACGACCACACGCCATACAGCCACGACCACACGCCATACAGCCACGACCACACGCCATACAGCCACGACCACACGCCATACAGCCACGACCACATATCCACGACGCACTCACGACCACACGCACAACCACATACCATACAACAGCAACAGGAAACGACCTCATTTGCTTACTACAGTCTCTTTGATGAAGATTAAGCCACCCAAAAGGTGGCACGGGCATGAATAACCCGTAAGTGGTGGCCCTTTTGAGCCATTACCAGTATCAAGAGCTGATACTGGAGATCTGTGGAGGTGCGACTGCACCCTGCGTGACGACAGATGTCTCCCGTCCGGTGTGTGATCGAGTCATATTGATTGATAAAGATTAAGCCTCCCCCCCAAGAGGTGGCACGGGCATGAATAGCCCGTAAATCGAGCCATATCTCTCCTGAAGCCTCTTATAACTGTCAACTGTGCCTCCTGTGACGTCACGGCCTCCCGGTGGAGGGAATCAACATGGCGGCCACATTTAAACCTCGCACTGTTCTCATATATATCCCGAAAACCTAAATTGAAATTGAATTGAAATTGAAATAAGTTTATTGAGGTAAAATACACACAAAGGGATGAGGTAGCTCAAGCTATTCTCACCCCGTTCAGTACATCGTGTTAATACATACATAGACACACATCACAAACAATAAACATATTACCAAACATTCTGAGAGATAAACATCTACATTTCCTTCGAAAACCTAATATTTACTTAATACTTTGATATCATTATCGCTTTTTTTCGTTATATGGTGATATATGATGATATTTTATAACTTCTCAATTTATTTTTAGAATGGTTGTATAGGGATTGATTGATTGATGAAGATTAAGCCACCCAAGAGGTGGCACGGGCATGAATAGCCCGTAAGTGGTGGCCCTTTCGAGCCATTACCAGTATCAAAAGATGATACTGGAGATCTGTGGAGGCGCAACTGCACCCTGCGTGACGGGAGATGTCTCCCGGACCAAGTGGTGACCAAATGGTGATTGTATAGGGAGCTTTACTTGTGATGTCTGGCAGTGTTTTAGAGATTGCGCCGTGATGGTATTCACCCAGGGATATTTTGACCATAGCTTATTGGTCAAAATGAGGTATATTCCATCGTTCTTTTATCAGGAGACTTTAGCGTCAAACGTTTAGCTGTCCACTATATTATAACTAGAAAATACCCACCAGTACAAACTCGCGCACGCACGTACACACACACACACACACACACACACACACACACACACACACACACACACACACACACACACACACACACACACACACACACACATAATAAAATTGATAAAACATAATTTTATCGTATTTTTATTGATTTTTTTTAAATTTTGTATCCCGTTTTGCCTTCATTGGGGCAATTTTTATATTTTAACAATATGCTGCTGGTAATAGTTTAATGGATCACTGGGAGAGGTCTAATGATCTTCAGCGGCAGGAGACTGTGTCTGTAGTGATTAGTGATGTGTTATCGCTCTCGTATGGTGGCGCGCGCGCACGCAAGCGCTTACTTACCGTCTGTAAACTTATTGTGGGTCGCCAGGATTATTGTGTGTGGTGAGGATTATTGTGTGTGGTGAGGATTATTGTGTGTGGCCAGGATTATTGTGTGGCCAGGATTATTGTGTGGCCAGGATTATTGTGTGTCACCAGGATTATTGTGTGTGGCCAGGATTATTGTGTGTCACCAGGATTATTGTGTGTGGCCAGGATAATTGTGTGTCACCAGGATTATTGTGTGTGGCCAGGATTATTGTGTGTCACCAGGATTATTGTGTGTGGCCAGGATTATTGTGTGTCACCAGGATTATTGTGTGTGGCCAGGATTATTGTGTGTCACCAGGATTATTGTGTGTGGCCAGGATTATTGTGTGTCACCAGGATTATTGTGTGTGGCCAGGATAATTGTGTGTCACCAGGATTATTGTGTGTGGCCAGGATTATTGTGTGTCACCAGGATTATTGTGTGTGGCCAGGATTATTGTGTGTCACCAGGATTATTGTGTGTGGTGAGGATTATTGTGTGTGGTAAGGATTATTGTGTGTCGCCAGGATTATTGTGTGTGGTGAGGATTATTGTGTGTCGCCAGGATTATTGTGTGTGGTGAGGATTATTGTGTGGCCAGGATTATTGTGTGTGGCCAGGATTATTGTGTGTGGCCAGGATTATTGTGTGTGGCCAGGATTATTGTGTGTCACCAGGATTATTGTGTCACCAGGATTATTGTGTCACCAGGATTATTGTGTGTCACCAGGATTATTGTGTGTCGCCAGGATTATTGTGTGTGGCCAGGATTATTGTGTGTGGCCAGGATTATTGTGTGGCCAGGATTATTGTGTGTGGCCAGGATTATTGTGTGTGGCCAGGATTATTGTGTGTGGCCAGGATTATTGTGTGTCACCAGGATTATTGTGTGTCACCAGGATTATTGTGTGTCGCCAGGATTATTGTGTGTGGCCAGGATTATTGTGTGTGGCCAGGATTATTGTGTGTGGCCAGGATTATTGTGTGTGGCCAGGATTATTGTGTGTCACCAGGATTATTGTGTGTCACCAGGATTATTGTGTCACCAGGATTATTGTGTGTCGCCAGGATTATTGTGTGTGGCCAGGATTATTATGTGTGGTGAGGATTATTGTGTGTGGTGAGGATTATTGTGTGTCGCCAGGATTATTGTGTGTGGCCAGGATTATTGTGTGTCACCAGGATTATTGTGTGTCACCAGGATTATTGTGTCACCAGGATTATTGTGTGTCACCAGGATTATTGTGTGTCGCCAGGATTATTGTGTGTGGCCAGGATTATTGTGTGTGGCCAGGATTATTGTGTGGCCAGGATTATTGTGTGTGGCCAGGATTATTGTGTGTGGCCAGGATTATTGTGTGTGGCCAGGATTATTGTGTGTCACCAGGATTATTGTGTGTCACCAGGATTATTGTGTGTCGCCAGGATTATTGTGTGTGGCCAGGATTATTGTGTGTGGCCAGGATTATTGTGTGTGGCCAGGATTATTGTGTGTGGCCAGGATTATTGTGTGTCACCAGGATTATTGTGTGTCACCAGGATTATTGTGTCACCAGGATTATTGTGTGTCGCCAGGATTATTGTGTGTGGCCAGGATTATTATGTGTGGTGAGGATTATTGTGTGTGGTGAGGATTATTGTGTGTCGCCAGGATTATTGTGTGTGGCCAGGATTATTGTGTGTCACCAGGATTATTGTGTGTCACCAGGATTATTGTGTGTCACCAGGATTATTGTGTGTCACCAGGATTATTGTGTGTCGCCAGGATTATTGTGTGTGGCCAGGATTATGGTGTGTGGTGAGGATTATTGTGTGTGGTGAGGATTATTGTGTGTCGCCAGGATTATTGTGTGTGGTGATTATTGTGTGTGGCCAGGATTATTGTGTGTGGCCAGGATTATTGTGTGTCACCAGGATTATTATATTTGACAGCGTGTCATTGGTCAAGCGCATGTTCTTGACCGCTATTGTTCACCCCCCCCTCCTCTCCTGGTCATTACACCCCCCTCGGCCCAGTTCCCCGACCAACAATTACAAGGGCCGGGACCTTTGACAGTTTCAGTCTGAACAAGATTCCTTCGTCTAGGAAGTATTGAAGAATACGCCCGGTTAGCAACATATGTTCCAGTAACGTTAACTCGACGTTACCAACGTTTAATCGCCGTTATCAACGTTAAATCCTCTTTATCAACGTTAAATCCTCTTTATGAACGTTAAATCCTCTTCATCAACGTTAAATCCTCTTTATCAACGTTGTTTACCCAACATGTTCCCACTGGGAAGTTGCCATATCCAGCTAAATATTTAGTAAGTGGCAAAGTGTTAGCTTACCCTCGTGTTCCAAGTGGTCCAGCAGGCGTCCTTTTCTAAGATGTTGTGGGTAGGGCGTAGCTAACATGCAGAAGGAGTCGTCCTTACCGTCAGCCTTATCGCGGTCTTTAGGCGTGACAATCCTGAAGGCGCTGGAGCTGCCTCCAGGGCACGAGAGAGAGCCCTCCTTCAGCATGGTGATGGTGGGGCGGCGCTCCCGCTCAGCCTCCTGCAGGAGTGGTTTTAGCGGTAACCGGCGGGGTGGCCGCTGTCGGTCACTTGACGTGTTGTGAAGTGTTCCTCTGGCTCATCTGTAGCCTCCTTGCCACCACCAGTTCCGCTCAATGTGATGTTAATAATTGTTTAAATTTTACACTGTAACGACCGACGGTGCCTGGCACTGGCACCCGGGGGCGGCGGGGGTGTGTGCCGGTCAAGTAGAGTCACCGCTGGCTCACCGGCTGGCCGTAGGTGTTGACACTTGTGGAACTGGAACAGTGTTTACAGCGGGATGCTTTAGCGGCGGCTGGAATATCCACACCTGGTGTTATCTTCCAGTTTCCCCAATTGGATTAATGTCATGGTTGTGGGTCGGGTGTTACACCTGGGTGTCGTGTGGTGTAGTCATGTTTGGATATCGCCAGGGAAAAAATTATATTTTATTTGGAGAAGCTATTTGTAGTGAAGCACATGGTGGAGGTGCTTACGGGGCGCTTAACTACAGCTGTAGGCCGACACGCAGGCTACATGACAATCGGCCTTGGTTTGATTATTAAATTACCCCCGCGCTAAATCACATGATTAAGGAATCGCACTGTAACTTGTGGTGGCCGCGGGGCGGTGGCGGGCGGCGATGAGCGGGTAGTGAGGGCGGGCACTGGGCGGCGGCGGCGGCGGCGGCGGAGATGGCGGGGTTGTGGTAGCGGGGGAGACAACGGACCTCCGGCCAAGCACTCCGTCGGACCCACACTGCTTCTCCAGCGCCCCCACCACGGACCTCCATGTTGCTACAACCACGCCGAAATTCAATCAGCACTTCCGACGCATCCCCCATACAACAAGGCCGGAAATCGTGCTCGGGACAGTGCAACCCTCGACCTTACGACACCTGCTAAAGCACTTGTCCGCCACTTCATTACCATAATCTTATTGTTGCGTTGACGGCTCTCGTCGACTTCTTTACACCAGATTTCATAATTCACGTTTGCTCTATCAGGTGCAATAAATATTTATTTATTCTGTTGAAATATCATAATATCCTCAAATCTACTATACAGCCAAATGAAACAGACCCATAGATATATATGTTATGCTTTATCGCGACTGATTCAATTTCTAAAACGAAAATAAAGACCGCCAAAATCTGTAAGAGTGCAAGGCGTGCGCCCTGATTGGCGGAGGATTTAGGCGGGTAGAATCCTGATTGACCGTTGGCTGGACAGATTTCCGGCTCCGCCCACTTGGCGCGCACGTGCAGAGGAGCCGCGCTGCGGCGTCCACTCCCGTCTAGGGCCTGAGACAATTGCCCTATACTTACCTTGTTAGGAAAATCATAGCTGGCGTGTGCACTGAAACGCATGTTTCTTAGACGTATTTCACAGCTGAACAACCCCATGACTGAATCCCGACTTTAACAAGCCCAAACTTTAATGCAGGAATTTGTGAATATCATAAAAGTTCATTTAATGCTTACTCAGGTTATGGAACATAATGCTTCATTTGTAGCCTGATGAACTGACATATGTCACGTTTTTATTAGTGAGGAGATTCTATATTTCTCAAGACGAAGCTTTGAGGTCTTAAAAACATACGAGAGATAAATTAATATAAAATAGCCAGCAGGCAAGGGTGGAGCGGACGCAAGTTGGACCTCGTGGCACCAAGTAGCCCTCAAGAGTCGCCTTTGACTCTGGCAATGGCAGTCGCACAAACTTTGCCTCTGTCGTAAGCAACTTGTATAACTTCTTCGACAAAATCTTGTATTTCATAATTAATAAGCATGATAAGCAGCGGTTAAGCTGCCATAAAATGGGCATCGAATATATATATATGTAGTGCAGGATGGTATGATATTGGTGACTGGTACGACACTTTTTCCCATGTCAACAAATCGGCGGTGCAGAGGATCGCGGCACTCTGCCGGGGGCGGTGTGGCTGTAGGGTCGGCATGGCTGGCCTGCTACCTGCCGCGGCGGCTGCTGCTGCTCCGTCGTTTCCCAATAGTCGGTCGCTTCTTCCCTGCTTTTCGAACCATTGTTAAGACGAATGGCTACACACATGTGTGTCTTATCGTACTATCTTAGATGTTTGGCATTTGTGATTTTCATTGTGTTCGTCGTGTTGTGGCGTAAAGGGCTGGTGTTGACCAATTTTAGTGTTGCAGCTGGCTTAGTAGTTGGGTGCTGACGGGTGGAACACTGTGGTGTTGGGTGCTGACAGATAGAACACTGTAGTGAACTCGTAGAACAGAAATGTCCTTAACAGTATTTGAGTTATACACTTTCAAAACATCACGCTAAATAAGTTGGATATATTTTTAATCATTAACTCTTGAACGCTCTCAGTAACCCTCTACGAGACTTATTTTAATCAATATGATAAATTTGACTTTCATTCCTATAATTTCACAGTTGATAACTGTTGACCTTGTTGGGAAAGGTCATAGAGCCAATTGATAGCAATTACATCTTGCCTAGGTTAGGTTTATGAATACTAGGCCAGGTTCATGAATACTAGGTTCACATACAATAGGTCAGGCTCATGTATACTAAGTCTGGTACATGTATATTAGGTCAGGCTCATGTATACTAAGTCTGGTACATGTATATTAGGTCAGGCTCATATATTAGTTCAGGTTCACGTATACCAGAGCAGATTAATGTATACTAGGTAGGTTCATGTATACTAGGTCAGGTTCATGTATTCTAGGATAGGTTCGTGTATACATGGTCAGGTTCATGTATACTAAGGCAGGATAATGTATTCTAGGTCAGGTTCATATATATACTAGGACGATTACACGTATACTAGGGTAGGATGTATACTAGAGCAGGTTCTTGTATACTATGGGGGGATGTATACTATGGTAGGTTTATGTATACTAGGACAGGTTTATGTATACTAGGACAAGTTGACTAAACCACACACCAGAAGATGAATGAACGACGACGTTTCGGTCCATCGTGGACCACTGTTGACCACACACACGACTTGATAATGGTTCAAGACGGACCGAAACGGTTCAAGACGGACCGAAACGGTCCAAGACGGACCGAAACGGTCCAAGACGGACCGAAACGTCGTCGCCTCTTCATCTTCTGGTGTGTGGTTTCGTCAGCATACCTTCAGCCTCGCTATTGTGACTCGTCGTCTACTACGATAACTTATGAGCAATTACAGATTCAGTCTGAATGGAAATTACAATATCGATTGTATTTCGTGTTAATCAATATATACAATATCGATTGTATTTTATAGTGTTAATCAAATCGATTAACTTCATCGTTTTGACTTTATCCTCTGATTTCAGCAGTGGATGACAACACTGTATTCATATACAATACAACACTGTATTCATATACAATACAACACTATATTCATATACAATACTGCACTGTATTCATATACAATACAACACACTGTATTCATAAATACAACACCGCCGTATGCGGCAGATGAACTCACGGACAGGCTCAGTATTCATCAAGCATTTGCGGAATCCCTTACGAAACCTGTACATCTTTCCTTCATCACGATGGATTTGATTACATTTGTTAAGCATTGTTTGGGCCCCAGAGCGCTACGAGGTTGTTTATACCGGTAATAACCTCGGGTTGTGATGTTTACAAACTCGAAATGTGTTTAATAAATGTAAACAAAGCCATCGAATCTAGAAAACTTGTTTATAGGACCGAACAGCGGCTCTAAATTGTTTGTAGGAGTTGAGACTGGAGAGGGCCGCCCTCTCCAGTGACCTCTACGGGGACAAGAAGTAGGCGGCTTGTCGAAAGTTCCACCAGTTGTACCTATGGATTATTTCTTGTTAATCGTTCCTTTATGCACGAATTTCATTAATAATTTTTCGGCTTATTTAAAGTGTGAAGAGTGTTGTAAAAATACAGTTTTCACTGACGACCACAAGACAATGGATCTCCACTTAAGGCTTCGGAACTCCATTAGATTCTAGATAGGAATCTAGGGCTTAAAAATATAATGACTGTTCATGAATGTCTCCATATTTCTCTCCATAGAGAGAAAATATGGAGATTATATTTATATATAAATATGGAAAATATTTGCTTCCAGAACCTGTCATTCTCTGTTGAATTCAACAGAGAATGACAGGTTCTGGAAGCAAATGTGTTCATTTCTCGACATTTCCAACATCTTTAACAGAGAGTTTTTGCGTATAATGAGGCAGCAGTTGGCGTAGGAGGAGAATACCTTCACTGGAACAGGTGAAAAGAGCTCCTAGAGTTTGGCCTCAAATGATGGAGAAAAGTGGTCAACAATGCTCCCATGAAGCAATATTGTGACCTATTAACAAGCTAAATTTGCGTGTGAGTATATTGACCTAGTTGCGCTTTGTCTCTTTGGTTTTATCACCGTCGAATGTAGCATTAATTCATTCTCAACTTGATTTCCAAATTTGCCTAACATAAATGACATAACATTCTCTTGTCTAAACAACAGTCACTGAAATCACAGTCTGTTTGTATGATGATCTTGGAAAGGGGGCAGAGTGACTGATGGATGAGTTGCAGTTACATGTAATGAAAGCACAAAGTAGCCTCTTAAGTGTATGTACACTTGGTACATAAACTTCCTTGAAACGAAGGTCAAAATCATGTCTTTTTATCTGTGGCACAGAAAGTACAAGATTATGAAGAGAAGAACTTAGGCTTTATAAAAGAACTCCCAGATCGAATGCTCGTTGAAGAGAGGACCTTGATATTCAGTCTCCTTATACAGGACCTTGATACTCAGTCTCCCTGTACAGGACTTTGATACTCAGTCTCCTTGTACAGGACCTTGATACTCAGTCTCCCTGTACAGGACCTTGATATTCAGTCTCCTTATACAGGACCTTGATACTCAGTTTCCCTGTACAGGACTTTGATACTCAGTCTCCTTATACAGGACCTTGATACTCAGTTTCCCTGTACAGGACTTTGATACTCAGTCTCCTTATACAGG